AAATTAATTTATTCTATTTTTCACATTTTCTATTTAAAGCTCTATAAGTAATACTTCAGAGCAGAGTCATCTCAGCTAAATAATATTAAGATTAAGAGTGATACTGAATATCTTATAAAGAAAATATTAAATAAGTTAATATATTATAATAAGCTTTAATATCTTGTGAAATAAGAAGATTATTCATTATCAGAGAATTCATGAAAACTGCTGAAGTATTTCAAAAATACTAACAAAGAGATTATAAGCTATAAGACAGCTAGTAAAAACTACTCTATTATATATCAGAGATATTAAGTAAGAAATACTGCTTAAGACTTCTTATTTTTTTTAAAGAATTTTTTAAAGATAATCTTACAGTGATGAGCTGATATCTTATAAGCTCTGTAACACTCTTCTTCTATTTTCTCTCAAAGAATTTTTTAGAAGTTTAATGAGACTATATAAGTGTAAAATTTCTGAAGTGATTAATAAGAAAAGAAAGAGATATTTGAAATTAATAAAGATTAATATTATTAATCTATAAGTCACTGCTATTCTAATAGAACTACAGCTCACTGAAAAAGTAAAAAGAAGAATCAGAGTCTACTCATTAATAATCATATTCTTATCAAACTTATTCTTTATTATTAAAGTCTTCAGCACTGATATCTTTATCTGCTAAGAAGTTAACACTACAGTACTGCAGAGAAGCATACTATAGAAGAGTATAAGAGATACTTAAAGTATTAATTTATTAATTTATAAAGTATCTCAGTTATCTGTTTCAATTGAAGTGAGATTCTCTTTAATCAGTAATTAATCTCTACAGCACTTTAAACAGTAGTATTAGCTGATTTCTTCTTAAGATTAGTCATTCTGAAATGTTTTTTCATCTTAAAGATTTACACTTTCATCTTCTTTTACAGATGAGTAAGAGAGATCTTCTCAGTCTTAATAAAATTCATTAATATTTAAAGCTCTGAAACTCTTACTCTGTACTGCTTAAGCATCTGAGCTTCTTATCAGAGCTGATACAATATCTTCTTATAGAGTAGATAATACTTACAGAGAGATAGAAGTCATTATTACAGATATAACAGAAATAACAGAAGTAAGAGAAGAAGTGAATATATAAAATCTCTTTCTTCTTCAGCTGTTTAGCACAGTACAGATAAGTAGCAGTGCTGATCAGAGACTGTACTAAAGCCTTCTCACAGAGAGAAGATAAAGAAACTGCAGAACTCTGCAGATTCAACTCAGCAGTATTCTGAGCAGAACTCAGACATGCTATAGAAGAGAAACTACAGATTAAGCTTCTCAGAGCTACTGTTCTCAGAATCAAGCTCTCTATAAGATTCTCTCTGAATGATCACACAGAGTTATATATAACTATGTTGATTGAGAGAGAGAGTGGTGTTGCAACAGTGATGAAAGAAGTAGAGAAAGAACTGAACACAGACAAATCAGTCAGCAGAAGAAATAACATCTCACTGCAAGGCACAGCTACTACCACCACGGCCGCAAGAGATGCAGAAGAGGGAGAAGATGTAGCAATGAGAGCAGTGCTTCTGCGGCTCATTGACACTGCTGTCTTCACCTTCAATCTGGCTTTCTTGGCACTCATGGAGGCCGCAGCTAGACTGGCTGCTGGGATCATGAATTTCACATTTGATTCCATTTGATCTGGTCTCATACATTTCTTGGTGTGAATCCTGCTGGGACTAATCATTAAATAAACATGCAAAGTGACTATATATCAGATCTTAAAATGAAATCATGACTTGAAAAAAATGAGAAAGTGATCTCATTTAATCTCATTGTGATTCAAAGGTTGCTTAAGCCAGCGTACGATTACAGGCGTACGCCGGCTTCTTATATATTGAATCTCGTACGCTAAATTAATTAGTGGCCGCTAGGGCCCTCTTTACATTCATATGCTAGTAGTTCAGAAGCGGCCGCATTATTATCTGACAGTTGTACATTCTCCTGAATCACATTCTCTTTCACCAGATTCAGTCACGCCCATGTGACTATGTTGTACATTCTAGCTTCATGCAGATTAGCTCCTCACTAGCATTTCACAATTGTGTGACCTATTTCTGATTCAGCTAGCATTCTGTATACACTCTTACAAAGAAACTTTCACTATATTATATCACTCATTCACTAACTTTTCTCATTCTTCAATCATCTTCTTCATCATCATCATTATCAAATATCACTATCTTATTCAAGATTTCTATTTCTTCTTCTGTTTAACTCTTTCTATCTATTCATCTATTATATTATATGTGTTTCTGACAATGATCTCTTATTCTTATAACAAGTGTCATTGTAGTGCTCATACCAGGCAGTTCATTAGCAGTAAGTGTAACACATTGTGAAACATACATGACCAGGACTTGTTTATCTTCTAATAATTGCCAGAATATACTATTATAAATAGCACATCTTCTTCATCTTCTTATACATTTCTGATTATTTTCTTCTCAGTGAGTTTCTGATCATGTTTTCTGACATAATTTTGTGTGAATATAGATGCTGATATGTTTGTTTTTATTCACATAGAATCTTCATGTGTTGACAGATCTGTGTTCATCAATGATAGTGAATCTGATATTGAATTATTAGTTGAGAACTTGAAGAATGTGATAATGAAGAAATTATCTATGTGATGTATGACTGAGTCTCTCATATCTCTTTCTACTCTCTCTGTTTCTTTCTCTGCTACTTCTTCTCAATCTTCTACATCTGTCTCTGTGTCTGATTCTCCCGCTTCTGCTACTTCTGTTCCTGTGACTCTTACTTCTGCTACTTCTGATTTTGCTATCTCTGCTTTTGTTACCAGCTCTCCTCATTTCAAGAAGATATTATATAGACTTAATGAATTATATCTCTCAGTACATACACTTTCATTCTTCTTACTGACTCTCAGAATAATTTATTGTATAAAGACTGTATATAACACAACTATCTGAAGCTCAGTTACAGATACTGATTATTATATTCATTTTAAATATTCATGATAAAACAATTATTTATTTATATCAGAGAATCACTTCTCTTCTCAACAGTGTCAAGATTATAAGTCTTTTTCTTTTCATTTATTAATCTGACACTGATTTTTCTGTTCTTAGAGAAAATTGTTATGAGTTTTACTGTGTATAAAGTCATGATATTCATAGATATCAAGAAGCTTTTTACAACTGTAAAGTTTAATATCACAGAGACATCTGCTCTAATAAATTTCTTCAAAATGATTAATCTATATCAGTCTATTCTCTGACATCTGTCATCTGACTTTGTAGTGCAGATAAAAGATATTCATATTTTCAGAAATGAGAATATGAATGTCATACTCTTTTACATCTACAGATGTAAGGCTTGTACATCTTATCTGAGATGTCATTGTAAAAATAAGCTGTTTATATACTGTATTCTACTTCCTGTATTTCTCTGTATCTTTCTCTCTCTTTCTGAGAAGTCTTGTATATGTTGTAATTGCATGTACAATTCTAAGACCAGCAGATATTCATTCAGTAATTATTGTCTCTGTTTTTACAGTTTTATACACTAATAATAGTTCTTAGTTACTTCAGCATCAGAGATCATTTTAATTAAAGATGATAACACTGCTGAGACTACTCTCTCTCACTCTTAAGCTTCTCTCATTGCTTCTTCTTTCTTCTCTGCAGAAAAGATTATGCATATATCAGATTATAAGTATTCAGCTCTGAGTGACTCTCATTATTTATTCAGTTCTGTATCTCTCTCTTTCATTTCTTCTATCTCTGCTCTCTTTACTCTGACTTCTGATTCTACAGATCTCATACTCTTCTTCAATTTCTCTACACATATGTATATACATTTCTATATTAGCATTTCAGTCAATCTTGTGATAAATGACATTAATATTGTATACAGAGTGATAGAGAAATCAGAGATATATACAGTGTTATTATAAGAGTAACTTACAGCTCTTGAATTTCTTACAGATCTCAAGTTTTGAGATTTCTTTTATTTTTAACATTTTTCAGATGACATGATGTTGAAAATAGATTAAATATATGATATATAAAAATGAATAAGATATATATAATAACATTTGTTTTTTACAGTCAACTCTTACAGTTGATAATCAATTCATTATTTCTTTTCTTACACTTTTTCTTTATCTGCTAGTCACTACTCTTACACAATCTCTATATAATACAGTATTCAGTGACTAGGTTCAGCAGCTTTCATCTTTTGTAATTCTATCTTATACATTATACTGTCTCTCTTCACTCACTCAGATCACTACAGTGAATAGCTTATTAAAACTAATCTCATCTGATCTCTGAGCATCTTCAGAGATTGAGATGACTTTATCTCATATATTTATAAATGTTTCAGATAGTTTATTCTCTGTGATCTTCACAATTAAACTGATATAAACAGTTAAATTCAACTCTGAATTCCTTTTTCTTCTGTAATCTGACTCATATACAAGTCTGCTACTTTGAGACTACTCTTTGTCATATTGCACTCACTGTCTGAAGCATATTATCATACAACTGACTACAGTCTTATTACTTATTAAAGTGTGATATTTACCTGATTTCTTCATTTCTTCTCATTCTTTTCTTATAATTGTGAAAAGATCAGAATAAGTGAGATCATCTGATTCATAAGCATCTATGATTTCTCTTACTTCATAAGACTTTTCAATTATAAGTCTCTTCTTTTTCAATGCTGATGATAGTGCTGTAGATAATTATAATTTACTCAGATCTTGTATCTTTGCTTTTATAAGTTATGAATCATTGATTAAGTTGTATAAGACTCATCTCTCTAATTCTTTCAATGCATATATTCTCAGAGAATGTGATTTGAGTATCTTATATGACTCAAATTATCTAGATTGAAACTTGTCAGAACTCTCATTGTATATAAGAACTCACATTCTCATCTTGAGACTCAATTTCTTATCAAGTGAGTCTCATATTCTTTTCAATTGAATTACTCAGTTCAGAAGTAACTCATTAGCTTTTACACATGTATGACTGATCTCTTTCAATCTTGATTTCATGTCTGTGACTGTTGTGTCTGCAACTGCTGTTTCTGCTGTATTCACAACTGCTCTCTCTCTCATCATTTTCAAAGCATTCTTCAGAATGCGCGGATGCAATTCATACAACAGATAGAATAATGAACACTTGAAGACTGCATGCTGTTGAATTCATGTGATCAATAGCATCTGCTCAAGATATTCATCTCATAGTCTTGTAGGCTTATTCACTAGATATTTCATCAGCATGTTACTCAAGATTTCATTCAAGCATTTTATCTTCTTATTTATTCACAGATGATATGACATTGTTCTACAATGTCTTATCTGTAACTGGCTCATGAAATGCCTCACTACTTCTTCTACAGAGTTCACATCATTATCAGTTAAAATCTTATATGATATTTCATAGTTGACATAGATCTCATTATATAGAAACTTCATCATCATCTTCTCTATCATCTCTGAAACTACTTTCACAACTGATCAGTCAGTAGTGTAATCAATAGCAGTGATTATTTATCAATTTTCATTTGATGTTTGCAGTAATATGTCTATGAGGTTCATCTCTCATTGTTTAAACAGTTGTATCATACACTTCATCTGATGTTATGCTTTCTCATATTCTAACTCTTTCTTAGATTCTTTTGCAACCTGACAATTCAGGCACTTATAAGCATATGCCTGAATGTTCTCAGCCATGCTTGACCAGTATACTCTTGGTTCAAGTACACTCATGAGTTCAGGGCTTTCTAAGTAACTGAATTTCTTGTGCATGTGAATCATTAAGTTGCATCTATATGAAGATTCTAGATAGAAAGCTTCTGCATATTCTAGATTGCAGTAAAGTATAACATCATTTTCATCTCTTAATTTTCTCAGCTTGAAGTTTGAAAGTATCTCTTCTACTACTCTCATGAGATGCTTGTCATCTGATATCTTGTCATTCTTTAAGTGAGAGATCATGATGTTCACTTATTCTGATTCCTTGCATTCTCTCAGTGCATTTAACACAAACATCTCTTATGCCTGGTTTGCAGAACTCTTACTCATGAAATCAGATCTGTGACTGATTGTATCAGATATCACTGCATTCAATCTCTTTCAGTATTTGATATGAAGATTGTACACTTGAAACTCTGAGATTCAACATACTAAGTCTTTGAAAGATTTTATTATCAATTGTAGATAGACAAGACTTTTGTAATCTATAATCACTGTTGTCATATATCTGTTGTTAATATATCTATCTCATAACATCAGCACATGCTTAATCACTAACAATTTCTTTTCATACACTGAGTAATTGAGCTCAGCGCCTGATAGCTTTCTACCATTGTATATCATCAGATGCAGCTTGTCATTCTTACTCATCTGTAGAAGATTGTCTCTGATAGCTCATTCAGATGTGTCTGTCTCAATGTAGAAGAGTTTATCACAATCTGATTGAATAAGTACTGAGAATGTTATTACATATTCTCTCAGTATGAGAAAAGCCTCTTCACACACAGTATTTCAGATAATTGAATGAAACTTCTTCTTTTACAGATTTGTATTCATTTCTCTTAAGAGATCTGAGAGTGATGCAGATATTCATATGAAATCCTTGATGAATCTGCAGTAGTATGAGAC